TTTCTTCTTCCTTAGATATACATAAAAGGAAATATTATATTCATACTACCATTCAGGTTTGAGATTTGCTGGGACTTTATTTGTGCTTAAGAGTTATTGAGTACACATGTTCTGCTTACAGAAACTATGTTGGGAAATACTTTCATCTGAAATTTTTGTTATTCACATGTTTCTCGTTCCATACAGAAAGTATTTTTCAGTTCTCATTTTTGTTCATTTTGCGTTGGTATAGTTGGGGGCGAGGCTTCTACACATTCTCAAGAGATTGCTTCCAATTTCTGTATATCTTCTTCAGGTAGGCACTGTTTTCTTTGGTTTGACGCTCCTACTTATGTTCCCTTTCCAGCAAATTTCGTGATATATGTTTTAAATTTGAATAGAAAGAAGGTGAATACTTAAGTGGGCATGAGGTGTTTCTTAAGCGGGTTGCTTCAGCTTTCAACAGTTTTGTGGAGTCCACAGAGAAATCATGTCGTGACAAGTAAATCTTTTTCCAAGTCGTGCACTTGTCTGTTGTTAGTGATCAAATGCCTCCTACCTGTGTTCTAGTGAGCTTAAGTGACTAAACTCCCTTTGGTTTTTATATTGATTCCAGATGTATGGAAGACTTAGCAAGTACGACTCGCTATGTTACATGGTCTCTTCACAACAAGGTTACTGCTACAGCTTTATAGCTCTGTTTCAATTCACTAGAGTTTTGTGCATATCAAATTAACACTAGAAGTAAAACTGTTTTCAGTAAGGATGCATAAAAATTCATCCGAATTTGGAATCCGTTTCAGCATTTCTGATTCGGTAGTTTTCTCTTCTCAATGTTATGTAGAACCGAGCTGGTCTACGTCAATTCTTGGACTCATTTGGCGGAACAGAGCAACTTACTACATCAGGTAATGCCATAGGATTTAGCCTTCCCCAAGATGCACCAGGTGGCACAACAGACACAAAGGTAAGATCAGATGTAAAGCTAAGCCATCTCGCCTCAAACATCGATTCAGGTTCCAGTATTCAGACAACAGAAATGCGGTTGGCTGATCTTCTAGATAGCACGCTTTGGAACCGCAAGCTTGCTCCTTCCTCTGAGAGAATTGTGTACGCATTGGTTCAACAGATATTCCAGGGCATACGAGAATACTTTCTCGCCTCTGCTGAGTTAAAGGTTTGCTCCTACTTCAGTTTTTACTCAGATTCTTACTTTTAATGTGACATTTCTTTTAAAAGTTTGCATTTGTGTTTTCTTTTGTTATGCAGTTCAACTGTTTTCTTCTGATGCCCATTGTTGATAAGTTACCTGCTCTTCTCCGGGAGGAGTTGGAAAACGCATTTGAAGACGACCTCGATAGTATCTTCGACATCACGAATCTCCGGCAATCACTTGATCAAAAGAAACGGAGCACAGAGATCGAGCTCAGAAGGGTATAACCAAACCTTTTATGATCATATTATTTGCCATTGGAACTAACTATGCAGAAGAACAAACATTATGTTAATTTAATTGTGTGGTCATGTTTTGGACAGATAAAGAGGATAAAAGAGAAATTCAGAGTGATGAATGAGAAGCTAAACTCTCACGAATTTGCTCAAAATCTAAAGGCACCTTCGGTGCAGCAGTGACAAGTTCAATATTGCTTAATATTATTAGGTTAAGAAACAATCTCATGTGTTGCAACTTTTGGATGTCCAAAAAAATATCAAAGAACGTTGTCGTTTCAAGTAATTAAGTGTTCGCTTTTTGGTCCAATGTTTGCAAATTTAAGTTGTGTAGAACAGTCGTATCATCATGCATTTTTAACTACATGTATTTTTAAAACTACATGGATATGAAAAAAATATATATTCACTATTGCTTCGTTGTATCTTGACGGGTAATCTGCCCCAAACATTCTGAGTAGAAAAAAAGCTTTTTGAATCGAAAGTGTATTTAGTATATGGTTCTTGATTATATTTTTATGTTTCTTTAATTAATAGATTATTTACAGCTTGAAGTTATATACTATGTTTTAAATTCTTATCCATCACTAATATACATTTGACCTACCCTCCTACCCATTAACCTCCACCTAACTACGAGCGCATTCACATTTTAAACACTATCTCTCTTTCAGCCATTTACTCAAAAGAATAAAAAAAAAAAAGTAAAATAAGCTTGACGTTTTCTCCACGTGACGAGAACCAAATGTTTCTCCACGTGATGATTATCTTGTGATCTAACTAGAGTTCAGCTTATTCGTTTTGATAAAAGAAAGTAAATTAACCGACCAATTTTTAGTCATATAACTTGAGAAAAAATAAGAAACTACACTCTTGAATAAACGTAAAACTGATCACTGAGTAACTTTTTTCTTTTGTCTTTTTACTTCCACCAAGTAACTTTTTGATTAATAAGTATGTATAATAACATATAATCGTAATATCAAAAAATTAAAAGCAACAATAGATGATGATACATACTAATACACACGTGACTTGAAGTAAAACAAGCTAATTTTTTTTTTTTAAGAAATGGATTAAAGAGATTCGATTTATTTTCGTTTTATGATTATTATTATTATATGAAGAAATTGTTGTAAGCGTATATATAAAGAGAAGCAGTCCAAAGCTTTTATAGACAACTCAAGTTTCTTATAACAAAGCAACTCGACTCAAACAAGCACATCCATGGCTCCTTCTACGCAACCTCTTCCTACAAGGTAAAATCTTTCTATATCATCGAAGAAAATAAAATAGAAAATTTTATCTTTAAAGAAAAGTATAATAATCTCGCATTTACTTGTTTAAATCTGATAGTATGAACTAAGATTGACGATGATTTTTGTATTTTATTTTATCAAACTTTACAGTGTTTCGGATGAAAAGTATGCTAATGTCAAGTGGGAAGAGTTGGCATTCGGGTTTGTTCGTACGGATTATATGTACGTTGCGAAGTGCAATCATGGTGAGAGTTTTCAAGAGGGAAAGATTCTTCCTTTTGCTGATTTGCAACTTAACCCTTGCGCTGCTGTTCTTCAGTATGGCCAGGTTTGTTATGACTTAATAGAATGTATATAGATTCTTATTAGATGAAACTTAAAACTAATAACACATGAATAGCTTTCACTGATAATAAGATGATGATTGAGCTAATTATTACCATATATACCTGTTTGAGCTATATATTAAACTATTCAAAAATGAAAGAGTTATACATATACGTATTAATGTATATCAACTAACCGAAATAGTTTGAAAGTATATATTGCTATTCCTATCAATTAATTTAATTTGACCTAGTTTCGCTAAAATTCTTTAGTAATCGTTTGATCCTAATTAACTGAAATAATGGTGGTTTGGGTATGATTAGGGTTTATATGAAGGACTGAAGGCTTACAGGACAGAAGATGGTCGGATTCTGCTATTCCGACCAGACCAAAACGGTCTCCGTATTCAAGCCGGAGCCGACAGACTCTATATGCCTTATCCTTCGGTCGATCAATTCGTCTCCGCCATCAAACAAGTTGCTCTTGCCAACAAGAAATGGGTAATATATATTTTAATTATGTTAATTAATATTCCATAAGAAAAGAAAAAAAAAACCTCATAAAATGAAAGATATAATGGAGTTTTCGTATATACGTAGATTCCTCCTCCGGGGAAAGGAACATTGTATATTAGGCCTATCTTGTTTGGGAGTGGTCCGATTCTTGGTTCATTTCCTATTCCTGAGACCACCTTCACAGCTTTTGCTTGTCCTGTTGGACGTTATCATAAGGTGAGTCATGTGTTCTTGTCGAATTTTTTTTCTTTTTCTAAACATTATTCGCATATGAAATTATATAAGGGATCTAAAGTAATATATATATATATATATATATATATAAATTTACATATATCACTTCACTTATTGAGAGTTGGTTTTAAATTAAAAATAATGAAACTTGTCATGTTGAATTTGATTATTAATTTTCGGATTCTTTATGGTATAGGATAACTCTGGTTTGAATCTGAAAATCGAAGATAAGTTTCGTCGAGCTTTTCCTAGTGGAACTGGTGGTGTGAAGAGCATCACGAATTATTCTCCTGTAAGTTTTAAGAATATACATCAAATTTTCATAATTACACGACTGTTTTGGATTCTGTAAATGATTGTAATGGAAAATTTTCTTGTTGAAGGTTTGGATACCATTGGCAGAGGCGAAAAAACAAGGTTTCTCTGATATTTTGTTTTTGGATGCTGCAACTGGCAAAAACGTGGAAGAACTTTTCGCAGCAAACATTTTCATGCTCAAGGTAAAAATTGAATATACAAATATATGGAAATGTTGTGATTTATAGAATATTAAGATCAGTTGTGATATTTTTGTATAAGGGAAATGTTGTATCGACACCAACAATTGCAGGAACTATTTTGCCCGGAGTCACACGAAACTGTGTAATGGAATTATGTCGTGATTTCGGCTACCAGGTTGGAATATTTCAATATCATATATATATATGAGGATATATATTTGATTCAAGTTGATCTTGTAATTTGCGAAACTATCTCCTTACTAATAATATTCACCATGCATGCATGTATAATAATTTCCTTTGTTTTTCTCGTTGTAAAAGGTTGAGGAACGTGTGATTCCTCTAGAGGACTTTCTCGATTCGGACGAAACTTTCTGCACTGGGACTGCTTCAATTGTGACTAGTATTGCATCCGTAACCTTCAAAGACAAAAAGTAATATTATCTTCCGTTTGTTAATCCAAAATGATTTTCTTGATGATTTTGATGATTTTCTTTTTCATAAGTAAAGTTGACTGAAACAATTGAGTGTATAAACTCAATACAGGACTGCATTCAAAACAGGAGAAGAAACATTGGCTGCGAAGCTATACAAGACGTTAAATGATATCCAGACGGGTCGGGTCGAGGATACCAAGGGATGGACGGTGGAGATTGACCGTTACCACCAGGGTTGAATCTTGAAACTGTAACTTGAAACCCAATCCCTTATATATGTGTGTGTATACAAAACTTATGTAAGAAACATCTGAAGATGTCTCTGATCTTTGTGTTTGTCATCATGAGCATGCATGTCATGTCGTTGCAATGTATTTTCTAAAAGTTGGTCTGTAAGTTATTTAATAACTACGGTTTGCTTCATCTTTTTGCTTATATCTTCTTGTCTCTTGAAAATTAATATTTCAATAATTATCTAAATTCATCTTGTTATAGTTAAAAACCGTGTTTAACTATTTAAAACTACTGTTTTTTTGTCCACGTAGATGATACAAAACTGGTCGTAGAATCTTTCTCTTAAGAATTTTGTATAATTATAAAACCAATCAAGAATTTAATATTCTTGAGCCTTAGCTCGATTAATAATATGAGTTATACAACTTTAGCAATCTCATCATTAGCACTCTCATCGTAACTTGCTTCTCCATTGTTCTTGTAGGAAGGCTCTATTTTCTCTAGCATACTAACCACTGATTTCATAAACGGTCTAGCCTGAGGAGACTTGTCCGTGCATAATAAAGCAATGGTCAAAACTTTAAGAGCATCCTCCTTGTATTCATCTTCTATACTCGGATCGACTAATTCCATCATCATTTCTCTGTTCATCTCCTTGCTTATGCTCCAAACCCACATGACTATGTCACTGTTCTCGCTGAACTCTGTCTCCACCGGCTTCTTCCCTGTTACCAACTCCATTAACACCACCCCGAAGCTGTACACATCACTCTTCTCGTTCACTTTGGTGGTATACGCGTATTCTGTGAACAACAACGAAATGATATGCAAATTACAGGTTATATAACTGTATATTGAAATGAATGGAATTTGAAGCTTGATAAGCAAGACAGCTAAAGATAAGTTGACCTAAGGTCATATGGCTATTCAGAACAAAACAAACAAAACTTGAAGATTCGACTTACCGGGGGCAATGTAACCAAGAGTTCCTTCAACAAGAGGAGCCGAGGAATCTCGTTGAACCCAATCAGGCTGAATGATTTTAGCCAATCCAAAATCAGCAATCCTCGGTCTCCACTCCTCATCAAGCAATATATTGCTGGACTTCACGTCCCGATGTATCACCGGCCGATCTAACCCATGGTGCAAATACTCCAGCCCTTTAGCAACTCCTAAAGCTAATGCTTGTCTCACACGCCACCCAATCTCTTGCTCACCACGACGCTCATGCAGCTGCTCCCACAAGCTTCCATTAGGCATATACTCATATACAAGCAGCATACTATCCTCACACGTTATGCTGCAGAACAACTTCACAACGTTTATATGTTTTAAATTGCTTAGCGTCCCGACTTCTGCCTCAAATTCCCGGCTCTTACTTCTGTTGTTGCCGTCACTTAACATTGCCGTCGAGCTTCTAAAGCTTTCGCAGGGACTATCCTGACACTGACACCAGATGTGTTTAACGGCTAGTGTTTCACCGCTTCTTAGAGTTACTTTGTAAACATTCCCTTGACCGCCTCTGCCTATGAGATTCTCTGACTTGATCTCATCAATAATTTCCATTTCGTTAAAGTTAAGTAACCGAAAAGAGCTCACTTGCCAATTGTTCTTCTTCTGAGCCGTTTGATTCGACCTATCCCGTCTTATCTTGAAGATCACGTAACTGAATAATAAAAACAGAGCAAGTACCGCTGCAACGATTAAACAAATGTTGAACTTAGAAAAACTTTTCCTCTTCCCTTGGCTGCGAGGTTTTCCAAGCGGACATGGATGAAGATATGCGATCTTTGAGCTGCATAGCCCTGAATTTCCTTCAAAGTTTCCACTTTCGAGAGATTCAGGAACAGAACCAGTTAGCTGGTTGTTGGATAAGTCAAGTAAGCTTAGCTTCAGAGCCGATAAACCAACAGGAATCATTCCTGACAGTTTGTTTCCTGACAGATTCAGAGAATTCAATAACTGTAAAGATCCTAAACTTTCCGGGATTTCTTCAGAGAGTGAGTTTCCAGCAAGGTTTAGAAACACCAAAAATGTGCATAAGCCTAGTGACTTTGGTATAGCACCTGATAGATTATTCTGATCAAGATAGAGACTTGAAAGCTCCTTAAGCTTACCAAAAGAGTCAGAAACTATCCCGGAGAACTTATTCATGCGAAGATTAACCGACACTAACGAGTTAGCTCCTGAGATCTGAAACGGTAGAGAACCTGAAAATCGATTGTTGCTTAAATCCAAAGAGCCAAGAGACTTGGCATTGCCAATATCATCAGTGAGGTTTCCTTCAAAACGGTTTGAAGCAAGATCAAGAAACTGGAGATTAGGAAGCCCCCAAATCCCTGAAGGAATCACACCAGAGAGAAAGTTGTTACTCACACGAAGACGAATCAGAGTCTTGCATTTAGCATAGCTCTCTGGAAATTGTCCTATGAATCTGTTCTGCAACATCAGAAGATGCGTCATTGCGCCTTTCTTGCACATATCAGGAGGAATCTGACCTTCCAAGAAGTTCTCAGACACGTCGATGTATCTAAAACCGGTCCAAGATCCGAGTCTGTTCGGAAGCTTCCCAGTAAGTTGGTTTCTGTAAAGAGACAAAGCAGCTAAACTCTTGAAATCTCCAAACTCTTTTGGAATCTCACCGGTCAATAGGTTTTCGAACAATCCAAGAGAAACAAGATTCTTTAAGAACCTCAGCTCTGACAAATCACCTTCTAAGGAGTTGTTAGAGGCGTCGAAATTCCACAAATTCGTCAAATTCCGAAACCCGAATGGTAACTTACCAGTCAAGTAATTGTTGTAAATCTCAAGCTGCCTTAGGTTTCTGAGATGAACTATCCCCTTTGGAATTTCACCAGAGATTTGATTATCAGAGAGCTCAAGGTTTCGTAGATGAACAAGGTTCTTGATTCCCTCTGGAATCTTACCGGTGATGCTGCTATTACTCAGAAAAACCCTTTTCAAGGCAGTGAGATTTAGAATCTCTTTAGGAAATGGATGCAGATCGAATCGGTTATCTCCAACACTTAAGAAACTTAATCTCTTGAGGTTTTTTAGAGAACTCCATGGGAATATTCCAGAGATTCCAGAACCGTTTAAGCTCAAAAACTTGAGCAATCGTAATGAATCAATCGCCGGAAACTCACCAGAGAAATTGTTGGTGCCGAGGTCTAAGTATCTCAGGTGATTACATTCCCTGAGATTCTTACTAATCCGGCCGCTCAAGGAGTTGTTTCCTAGAACAAGCTTCTCCAAAAACTTCAAATCACAGATTAAATCGAAAGGAAGATCTGTAATTTTACCGTCGCCGTCGCAATTGATCAAACTCTGACTTCCAAGATTGATCTCGGTGACGTTTCCGTCGGAATTGCATACGATTCCGGAGAATTCGCATGCCGAGTTCCGGTGAGTCCAGGTCTTGAAGACGTCGCCGGATATTGTTTCTCCAAAGGTGGATTTCAGTTTGAGAAGAGTATCTACTTCTTGACTATGGTTGGATCTGGATGAAGCCAGTGGAATTAAAAAGAGAAGGCGAACGATAAATAATCGCCGGAACATCATTGTTCTCTACTTCGGAAGGATAAACAAAGCGGTGGTGTCTCGTCGTTGTTGTTGGTAAACGGAAGTGAAGAAACAAAATTGGGTAGGCGGTACGACAAATTTTGAAAATTGACAACTATTTTTTTTTTTTTTTTCTTTTTTCTTTTCTTTAATGTTATTGCCTTTTATGGATTTTATTACATTCATTCATGCACCAATCCGTTTACATCTACTTCAAATAATTTTGTTTCTGTGAACATTGAAATACAACAGTATAGATTATAGAACCTAAATAAAGTAATAAAATGGCCATTGTAGAAGAAACAACATAAGGGCCAATGATTGTCTTGGGCTCTGTATTATTAGAAAAAGCCCGATATATAACGTATGGAAGGCAAAGTGACTGTCAAAAATCAAAACTCAAAAGTAATGATTAGTGATTAATTATTTCCTTAGTACAACTTGAATCAGTCTCCTTAATTATTTCCTTAGTTACTTGAATCATATCTGTTGGATACATTACAGACGAAACTAATACTGATTAGTGATTATCTAACAGAATATTAGATTTTAAACTTTTTCAAAACTTAGAAGATTTCAAAGTTAAATCGTTATCAAGAGAGACGTGTACAAAATATTCGAAATCCAAATATAGCAAAATCCAATGAATACAAAGAATAGAATGTAACGTTTGACTAGTTGTCTTTTTAATATGGACAGTATGTAAATATGATCCTCTTTTAATTTTGGTAAACAAATAACAGAATTTGTTTTTTGTTACAATCCAAAGTTTTTTTTTTTTTTTTGACAGCCCATCCAAAGTTGTTAACTATTCTAAATTTTGAAATATAAATACTCAAATTAACTCTTAAGCTTCACCACGAATACGTAAAACAATGTCTCTACTCAAAACCAACATTTTATTTCTCTTAGCAATTGCTCTTTTGTATGGCTCTTTAGCCGAAGATTTGCAACAAGAATTCTTAGAGGCCCACAACGAAGCCCGAAACGAGGTTGGGCTTGACCCATTGGTTTGGGACGATGAGGTCGCTGCTTATGCCGCCAGCTATGCAAACCAGAGGATCAATGATTGTGCATTAGTCCATTCGAACGGACCATTTGGAGAGAACATAGCTATGAGTAGTGGAGATATGCCGGCTGAAGATGCTGCAGAAATGTGGATCAACGAGAAACAGTACTACGATTACAATAGTAACACGTGTAATGATCCAAACGGTGGCACGTGTCTACATTACACGCAAGTTGTTTGGAAAAACACAGTTAGATTGGGATGTGCTAAAGTTGTGTGTAACAGTGGTGGCACTTTTATTACATGCAACTATGATCCTCCTGGTAATTACATTGGTCAAAACCCATACTAATTAAAAATAATTTCATGTCTTGTGTCTTGTTAATGAGGCAAATTAAAAGAGATAATGAGTTGTTTGTTAGTTGTTACTGTCATTTCTTAGCTGTACAGAGAAAGATATTAACAATTTTTAATAATGATGACATCCACCTCTCAAAAAATTGGCTGGCTAATTCCTAACGCTATCTCTTAAAAGAGAAAATAGAAAATTAAAAAAAAAAAAAAAAATGTGAATGGAAGACAACTCACGAATTGGTAAAACGACAAACGAAACAAGTCAAACGACACCAAGCTGGCTTTGCTGTCTCAGCTCTTTCCTTAGCTTGTGTGAGAAAAGCCTGCAAGCATCCAAACTCAGATCGACCGCCGCAGCTAATGCCACGTGCGCTGCTGCATCCTCCGTACATGTCACGTGCGTCACACCGACTTCTACTTCCGGTTTGCTTCGTTTCCCAACTCCTTCAACCGTAGCCGACATAACGAACCCTCTGTTTTGCGCCGCCGCAGACGACGGATGTTGCGGTAGTAAATATCCGAAATCCGACCCGGATCCTGATCCTGGTCTCGACGCGGGTCTCGAATCCGCGCTTGAACCGGATCCGAGATCCCAGCTTCCTTGAGGACTCGTCGTCGGCGTTGACGCCGTCGTGGTTGTCCCGCCGGTAACATCGATAACGAAACTCCCTCCATTTTTCAAACTGATAGACGAAGATGCGGAGACGGCTGTGGCGATACCGTCTTGGAAAAGCTCGAAACGGTAACCGAGTGTGTCGGAGTAACCAGCTTCACGCCACGCCTCTAGTCTTCCCCATGGCTTCCATGTGCAACCGTCAGGTCGAAGAATAAGCCACGCTCCGGGACTTGATCGAGTGACCCGGTTCGAACCAGGAGATGGAACGAAAGGTGTAACCATAGAGGCCATAGCCACGGGTGAACCGGAAAGATCATGGACTGTTATTGACCATCCTTTTCTCTCTTTTGACGGTTGTTCTTTTTCCGAATTCATCGACGATATACAACTTCTCGTTGAGCTTGACTCAGACATCATCGAAGAACTGCAAAATTTAAACCACAAAATCAATACACGATCCCAACAAATCTCAATCACTAAACTAAGCATGAAATTACATATTTCTAAATTCGCATCTCTTTGCTAAATTAGCAAGTAATGAATCTATCTGAAAAAGGCAATGTTCCTATTTCTGGATTATTCCAGTGAAGATGAAGAATTAACTGACCTGTGAAGAAGATTCCGATCACCGGAGTTGGAGTTTCTGGAGCCGAACTTGCAAGTGAACACGGCTTGCTTCGTGTTTCCTTGAACCTGAAAAACCTGAGGACTACACTCAGGCTCGCCGTCAAACTGAAACACGAATCTCGGGTCAGGTTCGACCCGAACACTAACGTGGAGCTCCGGATCGGATCCAGATTTACTCTTCGATTTCTTAGACGGCAAAGCAACCCAACCGTTATGCGCCAAACAACTCTTCGTCTCCGCCGATTTCAAATCCAACGAAACCTCAAATCGACCAAGCAACTTCTCCCCCGCCGTAGCGAGTCCACACGACGCGCCGCTAACACCGTCGTCACCGTCGCAGTTTCCGCGGGAAAAAGCCTCAACGGAGAGAACACTCAACTTAGGTTTCTTCAAAGACGCTTCGATCTGAGCTTTACTTAAACTGAAACAAGCAGCGACGGTAGAGACGTTACCGGAGGAAGAACGAGTCTCGGATTCAGATTCAGTTCGAAACATAACCGGAATAGAAACAATCTCGCGAGGAAAATTCTTGAATCTGATTTTGCAGTAACAGTTAGGAGCCGACGGATTGATACCGGAAACAGACGGTCCTGATGAGGAAGAAGACGATGACTGAAACCTAACGGCCAAGTTACCGACGATGATCCGTACGAAAGAGCACGGATCCATTGAGTTTAAGATTTGGATACAACGTTTTAAGATTGAAAGAAGGCTAATAAGCAAATCACTCAGGTTTTTAGGTTGAAGGAAGAAAGATATGAGTGAAGAAGAAGAAGAACAAAGGTATAAAAATGGAAAGAATTGGGAGAGGAAACACAGCCTGGAAAATAGCTGGGGAATGTATATAAATTAATTAATTAATGTTAGGATTTAAAATTAAATAAAGGTATTTGGTTTTACAAAATAAAATACAGATTCTGTGGGGTCAAAGCCAAAACAGTGAGCTTATTATTAACCTCACCTATCATATTCCAGAATCCAGAGAGGCAGATTTATTTTTTTCATATCAATTTTTATTTTTTTACTTTACTTTTCAAAACGTTTTCGATTTTGTTACCTAATCTGTTTTTATTGGATTTTTCTCAAAACGTGAACTGGAACATTATGTTGTTGCCATTTTTGAACCGAAAAAGTAAAAAATATTTTTTTGTTATCTTTATGGAAATGTATAAATCAGTGCAAAGGAAAAATTAAACTGATCGTATTTATTTATTTGTTTCCTTTTTTTTAGAAGATTCTATAACTTCTTAGAATTCCTTTCAACGTAACTGATCACGCCATCAACATGAGAGTTAGTACTGTGGGCACATTATCTCATAAACCTTTTCTACTTTGATGGATATGTCAGAAAAAATAAGAGAAATACTTGAACTTGAATAGTAATAATTGATAGAAATAACGGTTTGCATTTATGAAATTAAAAAAAGGTTTTGCGAACAAAGTATAAAACGTTAAAGTATTCACTTTATTCTTTTTAATTCATAAATGAATAATTAACTTAGATGTATATTTATTCGAAGCCATTTTTATCAAAATAAAAGTATAAAAATTACACTACTAATATATACGTAAAAGTGCTAATACTGTAGTAGATAAATAACAAAATTAACTTTGAAGTTGTAAAAAGAAAAAAAAAACTGAAACGAGATACTCCATAATTTGTAGTCGGTATATTATATATTGTGGGTGTGTGACATTTTTGTATAGTCGGTATATATGGGACAAGGGTAAAATATTCAGTTGATTTTTTTTTTTTGGTAGGAGAGAGGCAATGCCTCCCACAATTTATTAAACTAAAAATAAATAAATGTTAAAAACACCGTGGACGCAAGAGGTTAATCGCTGCCATTGGATAATAATACGAAGGTAGGGTCGAGTTAGAAAAACGATGCAGCATACCTTACGCAATCTTTATCTGTCTCTCTGTTCATCACTTGGGAGCCATGAGCTGGCCTCAAAGTGGAGCACGTAAGAGTATCTCCAATGGGGAGTTGTTTCCATGGAGCTCTCTCAATTTTTTAATTATAAATTTGTTGAAAATTTGAGATGAGAACTTGTGTATTTTTTTTTTTTTTTCATACTCCAATGGTAGGTTCTCTAATGAGGTTCTCTTAGGAAAAAAAAATAAAAATATTATTTCATAAAACTTAATAATTATTACAATTCATAAAAATATTAAACATACATTATTTCAAACATTTTTAAAGATATGAAAAAAAAACATGGAATAACGATTATTTTTACTCTTGACTGTTGCGAAATTTTTGCCAGATATGCTCAACCAAGTCAGCTTTTAATTGTTGATGCATTTCACGATCACGAACTTGATTTCGTCTGCCCATTATATTCCCGAGATTTGTAGGCATCTCTGTAGAATACGCTAAATCGACTTGAGAAGTTTGGTTTGCTTCATCTTGTGTGAATTCCAAAATATCAAACAGAGTGTAACCATCTCTCTCGTCCTCTACTATCATATTGTGCAGTATGATACATGCTCTCATTATCTTTCCTATTTTTTCCTTATCCCAAACAAGAGCTGGGTTTTTAATAATGTGAAACCGAGCTTGCAATACTCCAAATGCACGCTCGACATCTTTACGGACTGCTTCTTGTTTTGTAGCAAATAAAGATGATTTCCGACCTTGTGGAATTCGAATAGATTGGATAAAAGTAGCCCATTTTGGATAAATACCATCTGTGAGATAGTATGCTAGATGATACTCCCGTCCGTTGACTACGTAATTCACATTCGGAGCTCGGCCTTGTAAAATATCATCAAAAACGGGTGATCGATCAAGAATATTGATATCGTTTAAGGTACCTGGAGGTCCAAAAAATGCGTGCCATATCCAGAGATCTTGTGATGCGACCGCCTCTAAAACGATGGTTGGTTTACCAGAGCCACGCGTATACTGGCCTTTCCAAGATGTTGGGCAATTCTTCCACTCCCAATGCATACAGTCGATGCTTCCTATCATCCCGGGAAATCCTCGACTCTCCCCAATATGGAGTAGTCTTTCCAAATCTGCTACTGTAGGTGCTCTTAGATATTCATCTCCGAACAAAGAAATGATTCCATCAGTAAAATTTTCCATGCATGAAATCGCAGTAGTTTCACCGATTCGGAGATATTCGTCAAGCGCATCAGCCACACAACCATATGCAAGCAAACGAATCGCTGCCGTATATTTTTGTATTGGAGAGTGCCCGAACCTTCCGGTAGCATCTCTTCGATGTTGAAAGAATTGAATTTCACTGGATAGTCGATCGACAATACGCAAGAACAATGGCTTGTTCATTCGAAAACGGCGTCGAAATATTTGAGGTGGGAATATCGCATTTTCACTAAAATAGTCGTTCCATAAGCGGTTGTGTCCTTCTTCACGTTGTCTTTCAATATAGGCTCGTTTCTTTTTTTTTTTCTTGGTACCCTCTTGCTGATCACCATAATCAACGAATTGATTCTCGAAGGTTTGATTGACAAAATCATTAAAATATTCATTCATTGTATCGCCGAGCATATTACGGGAAGAAGATGCCATTTGATATGATTGTTTGTTGTCTTAAAAAAAAGAAATTTTTTAGGAGATTTTTTGAAAAGAAATTGGAAATATGGTGTACGAATAAAAGAACAATGGTTTTGTGTTCTAATAATAGAAGAAGAACAACGGTTGTTGTTTGTGTTGTAATAATATAAGAAGAATAATAATAAGAAGAAGGCAAGTGTTTTGTGGTTTTGTTGTAATAATAGAAGAAGAAGAACAATAAGAAGAACAATCGTTTGGTGGTGAAATAATAAGCATTGTCTTCTAATATATAGCAATGTTGGTTCACAATCACAAATAAGAGAAGAACAATTATGTGGTTCACAATCACAAATACAAATTCATAGTCTCG